ACTTCAGTGTTGAGCCTTCACTCCTGACCTATATACTTGACATCTACTTATGAATCATATTGCAGAAGCATTGCTTCAGGCAGTTTGTATGAAAGCTGGTTAGGATGGACTTAACTCCCGAGGTTTGATTCTACTCTGAGGCTGACTCTAATGATGGTTAGGGTCCTGAGATTCTTTCAAAAGAGTCCTCCTAGGTACAAACACTTTTTTTAGCGTTACTTGTGTGGGCATTATTCCCAGATTCCATGGGCTTGGAAGGTTTTTCTTGGTAACGAATGGGTCTTTCTGCTATATGACATCATATGAAGATCTCATCTGAATGGAACCCTATTCTTGAACCCTTACTCTTTGGCAGAATTTTGATGAAGGTTACGTGAACATTCTTTGCAGAATTTGGGATACAGAAGTCACCTCATTGGATATACCAGGTTCTGTCCTCTGTTTCTCTCCTTCTCTTCTCTCTAGTCATCTTCAATCCCTTTTTCTCTGGCCTTGAACCACTTAATGTGTGCCTTGTAAACCCTTCCCTTCTCCATCTGTTCTACCCTGCCATACTACTTCTTTCCCACATCAGACCCTGAGCTGTCTACAGTCACCTTTGTTTATAACAGTGGTTCTCAACCTGTGGGTTGTGACCTGCTTCGGGTTGCTTATCAGATATCCCGCATGTCAGATATTTCCATTACCACTCATAACAATAGCAAAATTACAGTTAGAAAGTAGCAATGAAATGATTTTATGGTGTGTGGGGGCACCTCAACATGAGGAACTGTGTTAAAGGTTTGAAGCATTAGGAAGGTTGAAAACCACTGGTTTAGAATCTTATAGAAGGCTGCTCCCTCTGAGCCAAGTCAGATGATCTCATTGGCATTGCAGTCACCCTATACCACATTTCTGATAGCAAAATTCCTAAAACACAGCCATTTGGGAAATTCTGAATTCTTGGCCAGCATTTCCTGTATTCATCAAAGTACCCAGCACATGCACTCTCAAGTATCAGGTGACACATGTGTTCTGAGCTGTGGTGTAGCCTGATGCTCTCTGTTGCATGTCCTCTCCACAAGCTTGAGTGTTCTGTGGCCTGGGATCCTGCTGTGAACCTGGCTGGGTGTACCCCTACCCCTGTATCATTCTTCTGCCCCCTCAACAGTCTTGTTTTGTAAATATAAACTGATCTATTGCCCAGGAATAGCAACAAGGTGTCTTATAGCCAAAATGTGTCAGAAACATGTATGTTTAATGAAGATGGTAGGGTTTCTTTTGTGGCCTACTATACTATATGACTATGTAGCTGAAAGTTATGATGCCATATTCATTTCCAAGTATTATGTGCCTTCTCTGGGAGGGTATAATAAGGAGCATGACAGGCTGAAGTGCACATTTTTATTATTGATTCTTTTTACTGCTGTTGTATAGCAGTTTCCTCCTGGATTGAAACATTCAATTCCACAGAAAACCTCCTTAAGAAGGAGTAAACAGGGATTGCAGATTTAACTCAGTGGTAGAGTGCTTGCCTAGCAAGCATAAGGCCGTGGGTTCGGTCCTCAGGTTCGGGCAAGAGGGAAAAAGGAGTAAACAACTCAAAATACCTTCAGGAAATTTCTGAAACTGACTTCATTCAGTGGGCTCCGCCCTCCCCAAGGCTGTATAAATAGTTAAGACTGCTGAGAGTCTTTCTCAGACCAGTGGAGCAGCCTGGAACAGACCAGCAGAAGTGCTCAGAAGGAGCAAAGACCGGTTGAGCTACCGTATGTAAGAGACTAAGACTAAGAGCCACCTGGAAAGACCGCAACCTGTTTCTCTGCCCTCAGGCTCTTTATCGTGTGCTTTGGGTTTTCAGATCTGAAGAGCCATCACTCAAGCTGAGGTAGGCTTTGGTGACAAAGGTGACTTTGAGTCATTTCTGCTTCTGTAAGCAACCCCTCGCCCATATTCCTGTAACTCTGGTAAAATCCATTTGTTCGCCTGGTTGGACACTGGTATAATTGTTACTTCTGTCTGTGGGGGGATCCCTTTCTGTAGTGAGTAAATGTGTGTTGTTTCCCTAGAAAAAGTGTGTTTCGCAACAGCAGCTGAGTGAAAAATGTTCCCAGGAGGCAAAAGGAATAGGTGAAGCAGCTAAAGGAGGCTAATATAACTGAGGATTAGACACAGTCATGGAGGGTCCTAAGACACAAAGCTCAGGCTTTGGAACTGGGCACCCACGTGCCTCCTTACACTGCTGATCATCACCTTGCTTCACAGCAGCCTGCCTTTTCCATTCCTTTTACCCTCATTCTTACTTCTTTTCCTTCTCTCTTCCTCCTTGAAGGTTAGAATCAAAGGACTTCCTAGCAGTGAGTGGAAAGGGAAGGTGACAGTGTCCTGTCCTGCTGATGCTCACATGATGGAAATATCAGGTGTTTTTT